TGCCCCCCCCCCCCACCAAGTCTATAGCTTGGTCTCTCACAACAGCCAGAGTGAGCTTTTGTAAAACATGGTCAGGTCCTAGGATCCAGGCGATGAGGGTTCAATTCCCGGTCAGGGCACACGCCCGGGTTGCGGGCTCGATCCCCAGTTGGGGGCATGCAGGAGGCAGCCGATCAATGACTCTCTCATCATTGATGTTTCTATCTCTCTCTCTCCCTCTGAGGCCCTTCCTGTCTCTGAAATCAATAAAGATATATTTTTAAAAATAATAAATAAATAAAACATGGTCAGGTCGTTATCTGTCTGCTCAAAAGTGCAGTGGCTTCTCAGTGATGTCTTTCTTTTCCCACCCTATTTAAAACTGAAAACCCTAATATCTCTATCCCCTTTCCCTGCTCTATTATCTTTATAGCACTTACCACTGTGTATCATAACATTTTTTTATAACATTTTACTTATATACGCCCTTTTTTTTTTCTTTTTAATCCTCACCCAAGGATATCTTTTCCATTGCTTTTTAGACAGTGAAGGGGGTGGGGGGAGAGAGAAACATGGATGTGAGAGGGACGCATGAGAGACCCACCGATTGGTCGGTCCCGCACTGGTCCCAACCAGGGCAGGGGACTCAGCCTACAACCCAGGTGTGCGCCCTTGGCCGGAACTGAACCCGGGATCCTCCAGTCCCCAGGCGGACGTTCTCAACACTGAGCCAAAACGGCTAGGCCTATCGACTCCCATTTGAAGGCAAGGACCGTTGTATTTTTCCCCCTCCAATTTCTCAGCCTTCAACAGAACCTGGCACACAGTAAGCCCTCAATAAATATTCATTGAGTAAATGAGTAATATGGTCATTTGTTGATCTGGATGAAAATTTATGAGAAAGTTGGGTACTGATCACAGTTAACACCTAATTGAGCATTTGCTATGTCTAACCTTTCTGCATGTCTCATTTAATCTTCACAACCACCTATGATGTAGTCTATTATTTCCGCTTTACAGAGTAGAAAACTGATGATCATGTCTGTTGCACAGCACGAAATTCACTTGACTTGGGCTTTGTTTCCCTGGGCGTGCTTCTTCATAAAAGCACTGGACTAATCAGTAAGAACGGCTCTAGAACCAGCGCTGAGGCAGCGGGCGGGCGCCTAAGTAACCGGAGAGCGCGGGGCTGGCGTCCACAGTAAGCGCCGCGACCGAACCAACGCCAGGACCTAGGACCAGGAAGCGAGAGCAGGGAGAAGGCCGCGCCTTCCACACGCATACACACCTATCAAATCCCGAACTCAGAACCGCAGCAGAACACGGACTCGTTGCGGGTAGTTAAGAAAATAATCTAAGTTAAAACGGTATCAAGGAGATTCAGACGGGTATCGCGGAAAAACACCCGGCTTCCCGCACCTCCAGGCGATCACGTGAGAGAAAAGCCTAGGAGACCCGCCACGCGCAGCTTCCGCCAGTCCGGGCTGATTTAACCTTGTCCCCGCCCATCCCGGAAGTGGGGGCGGAGCTAAGAAAGCGTCGGCGCCTTGTGAACGGAAGTGGCTGTTGGAGGCTTTAAGGTAGCTTTAAATTCCTTCTGCAGTGGGAGCTGGCCCTTTTCTGCTGGAGCCGGGGCTCGCGTGACGGATGGCTGTGGACGTGAAGTCGCGAGCAAAGCGCTATGAAAAGCTGGACTTCCTCGGGGAGGGACAGGTGAGGCTCTCGGGGACTCGGGGCATCCTGAGGGGAGAGCGCCGAGTCGCCTCCCATCTTCACAGGCTTTCTTGGGGCAGCCGCAGGACCAGCCCGGCTGCTGGCCGAGGCTCCCGGGAC